AATCGTAGAGTGGATATATATGTGTTGTTTCATGATGTGGCCAATCATTATTAATTGTTGGATGCAGTTGCCTTCGATCAGTTTTTCTCCGCAATTTTTAGTGATTTCAGTATTCTCATTGTTTTTTAGTACATTATTTTTTCTTATGAAAGGAATATTTTATACGTTTTTTTGTATTAAAAAGGCCTACACTATCTTTGAATTGACTAATTGACACTAAAGATAAGCGTGAGTGACTAACATTTGAATTGGCTAGGAAATATTTTTCTAAATTAGAGAGTGCCTAGAACATAATAAAGAGCATATAATTCATTAAGAGAGTATGAGGAATTAATTCTACAAAGTGAGGGATATTTTTATACTTTTAATAAGTAAGGGAGATTTGTTGTTTTAGTTGCGTAAATGTTGATTGTGCCTGATATAAGTCTTATAACTTTACTTACATAAAGATTTAGTCTTGTAATTGATAAATTTATATATATTAAAGACTATTTTAGCGGAATACTTTCTGGCAAAAAGCATACCAAAATTGATGTATCGGTGTCATTTTTATATTAAAAAGTGTACTTTTTCTTTGGAAAGATCTTTAATATGTGTGTACACATTTATACGAGATTTGCAAGTGATATGAATAAATTTACAGTACTAAAAGCATACAGAAACAAAGATACGAGATCAAATCTATATTTTTCTATAAACATAATTGAAACTACTAACATTCATTAATTGATGGGGTAAGAGTACTTTTATAATCATGTAAATATGCAAATGATATGTCAAAACCAGAGGAAGAACAACAATATTTTTTATTTAAAAGGAAAGAAAGACACTAGATAGATAATAAGGCTTAAAGAAAAAAGCTATACAACATAAGGTCAAAGTTGATGTCCTAACATAAAGTAGCTAGTAGCATCCAATTCCATATATGCTCTACAAATGACGTGTTCCCGGCATAAATCGCAAATTACACCTTGTAATCGTTATAAAGTGCGACTAGTATACCACCAATCTCACTAGCATATATTTCAACTTTCTATTTTACACGATTACATCCCCACAATGCACTATGTATCATTTACTTTACATCCCCACAATGCACTATGTATCATTTACTTAGCTTATTCTTCTTTATTTTCTTCTTCAATTGTTTTCCCATTCCCATCAAAATACTTAAAACGTAATTGTAATTTTACTTTTCGCTATCTTCAACTTAAACTATAAATCAATCTATTTTTTATTCTTTATCAATTCGTAACAAAATTTTTGTTAATCAAAATAAATAAGTACGTCACATTTCATATTCATATACTATTTTATATTTCTGTAATACTTTTATATTCATAGAATTATTGTAATATATTTTTTGTATTCATACTATAGTATGTTTGTGTTTTTTATTTATATGAAACACACACACATATAAAAAATGTAATTTGAAACACATACACAAACACTATAAATGGCTTAAGGCAACACTTGAAAAATGTTGCATTACACCATAATGTGTTGCCTTAGGAGTCTATGGCAACACTTTTCCAATTTTAAAAGTGTTGAAATTTTGGCCGTTGCCATTGATGTCTATAGCAACAAACCAAAATGTGTTGCAACAACTTTGGCTAGGGCAACATCATTATCTAGAAAAACTAAAGCAACATCATTATCTATTGCAACACTTCTAAACTAATGATGCGTTAGCCGTGTTTCATTTAATGTATATCTACATTTTTGAAGCGAACACTTTAAATTAGTGTTGCTATAAGTCATTTATGGTGTAGTGATATATTTCTAAATATTGTCTTACTTTATGTAAGGAAAGCGAAAAGTAGATAAGAGTAGTGAGTGTTATTATTGATTTCTTAGGATGTTTTCTTTTGGACTGAAATTTGCTGGTCTGGTCTGGTCTGGTCTGTTTAAGTCTGGTCTGGTCTGGTCTGGTCTGTTTAAGTCTGGTCTGGTCTGGTCTGAACTGGTCTGGTCTGGTCTGGTAAACGTCTGGTCTCTGTGTATTTTATAACTACGGAAGTCTGGTCTGGTCTGGTCTGGTCTGTTTAAGTCTGGTCTGGTCTGGTCTGGTCTGTTTAAGTCTGGTCTGGTCTGGTCTGGGACTGAAAACAGTCCAAAAGAAAACATCTTGTTTTCGCAACGTACGAGGGAAGTAATAACTTGTTTTCGCAACGTACGAGGGAAGTATATGTGTGTGGGCACACACTTATGAGGTGCAGTTCAATTAAAAGGAGTGATAAACGTGACAAATTAACAAAAGAACATGGGTTTTGTGACGGATATTCGGCGACAGTTAAAATCATTGTTAGTTACCGACGGAACCACCGGAGAACCCTTCAAAAACCGTCAGTAATACTAATTTGTTAATTCTTGGAACGAAAATATAATCATTTTACCTACGGTTATTTCCATCACTGAATCTCCTGCAGATCTGCAAAGGTATTCTCCCAGTTGTATCCGTCGTTAATTTATTAAATTTACCATTACATCCCTCTTCACAATTATTTCCAAACAAAAACTCATCCTTACCCACTCTTATCGTCCACATTTATACGTGTATACGAGCGAATCCTCCCAACATGAAATAACTGTTCGCCATCGAATTCACTCAACCTCAAATCGTTGTCCCCGGTGAAGCTCTTATCTCAAATCGCTACCCATTGTCGAAGCCTCCAGACCTCGAATTCGTTCATTGCCTTCAAATCCTCATCCTAACCTGAAAACGTTGCCCACCGTCGCCCAACCTCAAATGTTGTCCACCGTCAAGTCGCCCAACTTCAAATCATTATGGCATCCCTATCCATGGATTTATTTGAGGATCATTTTGATGATGTGGATAATATTTTTTGAGACCATTATTGAGAAGTTGTGATTATTTGAAGAAATAATTTTGAAGACAAATCTGATATCAAATTCTAAAGCTATATTATTCAAGATTTCTCACAAACTTGTTCTTTTCTCTGTCTTTACAAGCATAGTTTAATAGTTACACTTTTAATTTGCGGATTCCTTATATTCTCCAAGTTATCCGTTTTTGGCCTTGACCAAGCTGCAAACCTATTGAAAAACTCAGGGGCAACAAACTATATATAATAATTATATTATATTAGTGTGTTTGTGTTTTTTATTTATTCCGATTTTTGCATTTTGTAGATACACTCATGCTAGTGCATGGGGTTATGTTTTGATTCTTATTTAACATTTAACTGAGTGCTTGATGTGAGGCGTGAGTGTATTTAAGTGAGATATTTTGAACTCGAGTGTATCTTTCATAAAAAAATCTAGATAAATAAAGATCATGATTAAGAAGAAATTGATAAATTTGAAAATTAGTTGAGATTTTTTATATGACACCAACATGACAACAAGAAATCATAAAAATAAAAAAATCGAGGAGCATGAATGAAGATACTCTATCCCGCCTCAGCGTTAAAGCCTTCCAACCTCAAATCATTGCTCACTGTCGAAGCCTCCCACCAAATGCCGCATCATCAGAATCATTGGTTGTTTTAATCTTACAAGCACTTACACATATACAGTTATACACACACTCTTGGTGTAAATTTAATTTCATTCACAATGATTAATAATAATTTTGTTATATTAATTGTATTTTATGTAAATTATGCATGAGCTCCGAAAATCATCATATATGATACGTTGGAATTCCAAAACCAATTTAGTCACGTTTCATAAATTTTGGATTCAAAATAGTACTAGCACGCAGAAGCGTATATTTGACATTTTATATATAAAAACAAAGCCCAAGTTCAAGTAACAATCATGAAATATTCCTTAAATATAGGCGATGAATTTAACATAAAAAAGAAAAAAGAAAAAAGAGCTGCATTAATACGAACTACATAGAATCAGGATTAAAATGAAACTATGCGGTGACAGCGGTGTTTAAATCTACTTCTTAAAATTGTTTATGCTCCTCTAACAGCAAAAACAGATATTCAAGTGTTTCAGTATAAGTGAAGAAATACTTCTAGCTCCAAATTATTCCTTAAAGAAAGTTTTGAAAAATTGAGAAGATCAACTTCTGAAAAATTGTTTTAAAAAAAGAAGATGAATTAATTCCAAATACGGCCTTTAAGAATTATTATTGGATGTACTTAGTCCTTTTTGCGGTAATGACTTTTTCCCTCATTGGATTTTGAAAAAACTGTTTGCACTTTGCACACATTTTTATACATACTATGTGACCAAACTATTCTTCGTTTGTGAATGACCTATTCACAGAAAAAACATATGTTCAGAGACATGTTTACATGGGAAACATATTCATGGACAAAATATGTTTACATACAAAATAATGTGTTCACACTTCGCAAATATTTGTACTAGTGAGTACAAACAAGTGTCTACTCGGGTTGTTCAATTTTCTTAACAACTGCGATGAAAGTTTACTTGGTCAGAATGTCACTCAAATCCAAATCAAATTTAAGAAGTCTTTGCTAAAATTTAAAAGTGTTTTTCAACTTTTGGCTTAAAAAAACTGAATTGATGATATTTTTATTTGGACTGTAATTTGCTGGTTTGGTCTGGACTGGTCTGATTTCTTTGTATTTTTATAACTATCCTATTTATTGATAATATATTTCGTTTCGTTCAAGCGGGATCAGAAGTATCCGGCTTACTGGGCAGAATGCAAGTTTCTTTTGACGTAGGTACCTGAATACCAAGTCTGGTCTGATAGGTCTGAGATATATTACAGTCCAAGTAAAAACATCCTGAGTTTTTCTAAATGACATCTTTATCTTAAATTAAGTACATAAAAGCTAAAAGTTGAAAGTAAATGGATATATGCTTTAAATGCTTTTCATTTTTTCTAGTATACAAAAAACACTAATGATACCAAACACTATCAATTTTTATTTTTTTCTCAAACACTTTCTTCTCAAACACTGTCAACTTTTACAATTAAATATTTTCTCAAAATTCAGTTTAAAAATCAATCTATTGAAATAGAAGCAATGTCAAACACTGCCTGATCTAGTTAAGCCGGTCATGCGTGTCATTTTATTTTCAATGTTTCTGTCCGCCCTGCACGGAACCACTGTGGAAACCGGAAAGTGATCGACGATCTGCTCAAATCGCTCTCAAGCCAATCCGCCAATGGATCAACCGAAGATGGTACGGAGAGGTAGGGCGGCAGTCGTAGTTCTCGGGGACATCGGCCGCAGTCCTCGGATGCAATATCACGCTCTTTCTCTAGCTCGCCAGGTTAGTAAACTGCATTTAAATTTTGAGGTCCATTGAAAAAGTCTAAATCATATTATCTCTCAGCAATGAGCATTGGTTCCCGCTGTGAGATGCACTGCCTGTAGGTTTCCATAGATTATTTGTATAAATCACCGATCAGTTTTATTGTGATTTACTTGTGAGCAGTTCTGTTGTAAAATTATGTACTCTCATGTAAGATCAGTTGTTTTTTAGTATGCTTGGCTCTATTTAAACATCATCTCTCCAACCGGGATTCAAAGATTTGACCTTTTAAATAAAACTGTCCCTGCAATTTCGTGTTTTCTTGCAGGCTCATCTAGAGGTGGATATTGTTGCATATGGAGGTTTGTAATTTTGTAATGAATTATAAAACTTATATACAGAAAACACAGCCACACACATTTTAACCGAACCATTAAAAAAATTAGTTCAATGGGGTTCAAGAAACTTAAAAGTTAGAATCTTTATAAAAAAATTGTGTCTGATTGCGAACTGTATTCCGCATTTTATAAAAATGATGTTATCAGCATGCTATGTGAAATAGTTTCTGATGATCTGATGGGAAATGATTCTAGGAGGTGCCTAGGTTTGCAAAAACAGATAACTCATGAAATATTGCATTTTATTGATATATATATATATATATATTATATATTATATATAGGGCTTGAACAAGTAAAAAGTAGTCTTCTCATGAAAAGTGAGAACAAATCTTGGCCTTCCATCACTTGAAAATGGATGGATTAGATGAACTTTAAACACAAGAGATGAAGAGACGGTTTCAAAAAATGTGCAAACATTTATACTATAAAGTGGATAGTTACTGATTAAAAGTGCACTCATGCGTGTCAAAAAAGATTGTTAAAATTTTCCAGCTTGTGCACTTTTTATTTTGTACCGTATTGCACTTTTGTGCTCTACGTGTGCACTTTTGGACTATTCTGATGCCCATTTGTCACAATATTTTCAATAAAAGTTCTCCATAATTACAAATATGCCACCGCGATTCCTACCTCAAAATTGATCTTTTCCATCCATTTCTTCACATCAATGGCCAAGATTAGTTCTTATTTTTCACCTAGGAAGTACTTTTTATTTGAACCAAACTCTCTCTCTCTATATATATATAGGGAAAATCCATAAGTTGATTGACATATAAGTATATAACACATATATGTAAATAGTACCAGCATTGTTCTTTGTTTTGGAAAATGACTCAATCGCCTCTAAAAGAAGAAGAATTAACTATTCTTCGTCTTTACTCTTTATGATTGAATGAGTTATATTCTGAGCACAAACAAGTACACTCCTTTGAGACTGAATGAGTCCTATCTTAAAATAAGGTGTTCTTGGATTAAGGAGAATTCTCATAGAACAATTTGGTTGCCATTGAGTGGTGTAGTTCTCATCCTCTTGTACCACGTGAATCAAACTATAATTCAACTGCTTCTTATCCATGATATCGATGGGCAGGTTCAGACCCCCATTCTGCTGTTTTAGAGCATCCGTCTATTCACACTCATAGAATGGTATTATTTCTCGGTTCCCTTTTTAGAATATTCTTCGCTCATTTTAGATGATTAAAAAACACTAACATCTTGTTGCATTTTTCCTTATGGGCCTTCTTTGCATCATGTAGACACAGTGGCCATCAACCCCTCAAACATTTTCCAAGATGCTACGTCCTTTAATGCTCATGCTCAAGCCATTGGTTCAGTTTGTGATGCTTTTGTGGTATCTCTTTGTCAAAATTCCTGCCCCTGACGTATTCATAGTGCAGGTGAGTTCTGAGATTTTTACCTACTACAGGCTAACAGCAGCCAAATATCTTCCAGATTTTTACTTCTAAAATAAAGATATTGAATTCTTTCATTTCTATCATGTATTATACTACCTCCGTCTCTGAAATAACTTCCCATTTCGGATTACGATGCTTGACTGACAATAAAGCAACTTGATCTTTGTTCGCCCTCAAATTATTTCTAGTAAATAAAATTTATATATTCAGAAATTACATTAAAAGCGCTACAAAGCCTGATAAAAAATGTTATTTTGATAAAAATTTGATATATAAAGCAAAAGATTATTAATTTAAGTTGACCATGTGAATAGTGAATGAGAAGTTAATTTTGGGACAGAGGAAGTATTATTTTAGTGAGACGCCTTTTTTCTGTTTATCTTATACTAGATTAGGCTGCCCGCAACCCATGGGGTGAAAACCCCAAATTTAAAGTATTCACCCCCAAATGAAGTACAACCCAAGCAAAAAATTGTATATGGGGGAGCCATCCTGGGTATAGGAAATCTTGGGGAGGGATAGCTAAGACCTTCATTCACTCTTACGGATGACCAATTGAGCATGGAATTAAGAGCCACGGAAGCCAACAACATGTGGGACTTATTGTAAAATAAAACATCTTTTTATTTAAACTATCATAACTTATTTATTTATACTCCAAATTTTATAAAAACTATACCGAAATTCATAATTTTTTATCATCTTTCGTTTGACACCAATGTAACATATATATATTTAAAAAAAAATCAATTGTTGTAAAGTTTTTAATCTAAACTTTTTTTAAGTTTTTAATCTTTCATTTTTCAATATTTTTTTAAATCTGCCCATTTTTTATTTTTTCAAAAAAAGGTCTGAAGCAACGAAAAAATTAAACTTCAAATTTATATTGTGCATTTTATTGAAATTTATTTCAAATCGAATTCAAGTGCGCACTTTTATACTTACAAAAAAAATTAATTCACTTTTTTTAATTTTTTACATCGGAATGTTTGACTTTTAAAATCATAATTACAGATAAAAATAAAAATGTCGCAAAAATAATGTGTAACAAAAAAGTAAAGGATTCAAACATTTAATTAAAAATAAAATGTGCTGAGTGAATATATATTGACGGTGCTGGATTGCAGAGAAAAATTGAATTGACTGAGTAAATACGTATAAACTAGAGTGAAATTAGATTTATTGACGGGCTGGGTTGCGATTAGCCTTACTAGTATTATGTAACTATATCACTTAGTTCTTTAGAAATTTGTTGTAGCCTTAAGTTTTATCCCATTATTCAAACCTTGACAGAATCCTCCATCTGTTCCTACATTGGTTGCTGTAAAATGGGCAAGCTGGTTCAGGCGTTCTGCATTCGTCATAGATTGGCATAATTTTGGATACACCCTCCTTGCATTGTCTCTTGGCAGAAACAGCCGATTTGTAACACTTTATAATTGGTAGCTAATTTTCTTTCACATATCTATAGCTTATCAAACCTTCCATATATCTCTATTATTCGTAATTTTATTTACAAATGCAAAGGATCGAAAAGCATTATGGAAGGATGGCAAATGGGTCATTTTGTGTTACAAAGGCAATGCAACATGAATTAGCGCAAAACTGGAGTATAAAGTAAGGGAAGGATATCAAATTTTTCTTAAACAGCATTTCAGTTATTCATCATCATCATCATTTTCATTTCAATTATTCATATCTACTGAAATATTGTGCTAAAACTGTTTTCCACAAACTTAGTGCCAATGTTCTGTATGATCAGTCTCCTGAATTCTTTCGACCTGCATCCCTAGAGGAGAAACATAAGGTGAATTGACTTTTACTTGTGAAAATGGCCTATAATAAATGCCTGTTCATGAAAACCTTAGTTCTTGTGTTGGCTGTAGTTTTTATGTAGGATTAGTAAAAACATACAAGAGCCATATGGCCAGAAAGATTGTCTAAGCTATGGTAATATATTCTATTTCCATATTTGGTCTGGTGATATTTTAAATTGTAATATTACCTTTAGTTACGTTTTTATATTGAAGATTGAGTATCTACAGGAATATTGGGGACAGACAATGTTGACTCCAATAAAACTCCTTTTACAACTCAGACTGGAAACGGTATATACTTGAACCAAAACAGACCAGCTCTCATTGTCAGCAGTACAAGCTGGTTAGTTCTTGTTAAAATTACTATTCATGCGATTTCTGTTTTGCAAGTGTTTACTTGTTATATTGTTAATAGAAATCGCCCTAAATAGGAGTAAAACATGGTTAAAGTTCCTAATTAAGAATCCATGTTTTATATTCCCCAAATAGGACTAAACATTACATTTCTACCCTTATATATATTTGGTTGCCCCATAGTTCCCCCATCATACCCAGGGCAGTCCGGTGGTGGTGGAAACCCGGTGGAAGTGGTCCGGTGACCTGCAGCAATGACAGTCCAGCGGCTGTCCGGTGACCAAGCTTGAACCTTTACAAGGGTGTTTTTGTCCAATCACAAATAATCACTCCTATTTAGGGAATTATAATTAATTACTCCTAGTTTTGCTGCACTTTTGCACTTTGAGTATGCTTTACTCTTATTTTGGGAATTCACTCTTTTGTTAATGATGAGATTATTCATATTTCAGTCGTAGATATGCCTGTTTTCAGGACCCCAGATGAGGATTTTGAAATCCTCTTAGAAGCAGCTGTCATGTATTGATAGACGAGTTGGTGCAATTCTAAATGAGGATGAATCGCATAGGGAGGAGCTTGTTTGGCAGGAAATTATGCATGGGAAACAATTTTTGTACCCAAGGTTGTTATTCATAATTACCGGTAACCACTGCTCGTATGTAACGATGAGTTTAATTTGTTCTTTTAAAAAAAAAATCCAACCTTACATAGTTTGTAATATTTTATAAAATGAAGGAAAAGGGCCTGAAAAGGAAAAATATGAGCAGAAAATCAGAAAACTGAATCTCAAGCGTGTAGCATTTCGTACAATGTGGCTTTCGGCAGAGGATTATCCAGTGCTTCTTGGTATGCAATTCATATTTTTTTATTATATTTGTTATAATAATAATAATCTCATTTTCATCTAAATCATCGGTCTTGTATTGGTGGACAGGATCAGCTGATCTTGGTGTTTGCCTTCACACGTCTTCCTCGGGTTTGGATCTTCCAATGAAGGTGTTTTTACTTTTTATTCCCAGAATTCATATCTGACTGCAATGTTTTTTATGCATGAAAGCTCTCGTTCCCAAATGTTCAAATTTAGGTTGTGGATATGTTTGGGTGTGGATTGCCGGTGTGTGCAGTTTCTTACTCTTGGTATGAAACTCGGTCCTCCTCCCATTTTAAAACACTTTGAGCTTATCTTGCACTTGGATTCTATGCTTATATATGTTTGATGTACAAACTTGAAAAGTATTGAGGACCTTGTAAGGGTGGAGCAGAATGGGCTGCTTTTCTCGTCATCTTCTGAACTAGTAGATGAACTTATGGTGAGTTTTTTCATTTTTGTGTTTGGATGATTACTTGTTGTAGCGTCTTCGCTATTTGTCATGGAGGGAGCATACTACTTGTCAATTGTTATAGGTTTGTTGAGGCATATTTGGCTTGCAGTAAGCTAGCTTATAAATTACTACCATGTCCCATTTTATACTCCGTATGTGATAGTAACTATTCACGTTGTAAACTTGTAAATACCACTCTTTTTTATGTTTTTATTTACCAAATTCAGCTTTGATTTTATCCGTACAATAGAACTTTTGGGGTAGTTTTTTAATATTTAAATTTTAATCAGTAAACTAAATTTAATATTATTATGAAAAAACATAGCTTTGACCTCAGCCAACCTTGTGATCCTAAATACTGCTTCTCCACACAACTATTAAGAAAATGAAATTGTCCGGTTGTGGACTTGTGGTTGATGTGAAAATAAAGCATCCACATAAATCCTTTCGCAAAAGTAAATGGGGGGGGGGGGGGGTTATTGTGATGTGATTGTGGGAGTAGCTTTTCATTTTTTGCAGCTTTATATTTTTGGTTAACGTGCTTTATAAGCTTGAGCTGTATTAAGTAACTTTCTGGAATAATTTTTCAAATCAGTTGATGAGCCCTTTGTTTCTAGTTAGATTTTAACTCATTTTTATTTTAAAATCATTTTAAACATTTCATTTTTAACTTCTAGACTAGCATATCAAGTAAGTGTTACGTTACTAGCTGATCAATCAGTTAAGCTACTATAGGGTAAAATGTTAAGCTACTATTTATCTTAACTATGAGCTACCAGATAGGTTATTGGCTTGTTTTGCCAAACATAGCCTTGTCACTTGTAAGGTGTGCTGATTTGTAAAGCTCTTGAGCCGAACCATCACTGATCACTATAGTTAAAGCTCTTCAATTCATTTGAGATATTACAAATTCTTCTACCATGTGACAAATGGGCTAATCAGAAGAATCGGTGATATATTGAGACCAATAAGATGGAACCTCTGCAGTGAGAAAAGTTACTTGTACTTGCTCCAAGATGATTAACTTTTGGAAAATGAAAGAAGTTACTTAAATCTGGATAGTCCTTGTATCAGCTCAATCTCTGATATTATATGAAACATTGCTGCTGAGCAAGTTAAATGGGAATTTTTTGTTGTTACCAGATGCTATTCAAGGGCTTCCCAGAGGAATGCAACATGTTGAAATCCTTGAGGGAGGGGGTGTTAGAAACAAGATGCTGTGCAAAATGGGATTCAGGATGGGAAGAGAATGCCATGCCCTTAATAACCCAAGAAAGTTCAATTCTTTTCTCCTTGTCACTTTTATTTATTGTCTTAAATATGCTTTTTAGTCCCTGCAAATCTGCAATGACATTTATTCGTATCTTTTAGATCACCTCAAAATACTATTTTGTTTTTCATCCTTCCAATATACTCCCTTCGTTCCACAAAAATTGGCCAATGTTGACTAGCACGTAGATTAATAAAGTAAAAACCTTGTGGTTGATATTTGTGCAGAGGAGAGAATAACTTTAGCCACATACTCCCTCCATCCCGAATTGAATTGCAAACTTTGATTGGCACAAGGATTAATCCTCCGTGACAATAAATGATGTTGTCATGGGAAAAAGTAAAAGTAGATGCCTTTGAGTTCATGGGAAAAAGTAAAAGTATGGGTAAATTTGTCACTTTATCCTTATTTACATACCTAAAATAGAAAGTGGAAAACCATTTTGAGACAACCAAAATAGGAAATTTTGCAAAACAAATTGAGACGGAGGGAGTATTTGTTACTTTAAATGGAAATGACAAAGTTTTTTGGGACGGCCAAAAAAGGTGAGTTGACCAAGTTTTATGGGACGGAGGTAGCATGATATATTTTCTTGTTAGTTTCTCTCTAAATCAGGTCAATTACTATTAGCAGGTCAATTACTATTAGGAAAAGAAAATTAACGTTGCTTGCATAGTTCTATTCTAAATTTCCACTCCAGCAATTTATACCTTTTGGGAGGAGTAAAGGGTCTGTTTGGTACTCGAATTTGCAAAAAAGGGGTCAAATAAGTCCTTATATAGAAGATTTTGTCCGGACGTGCCATTTGAGGCGGCTCCCGGTAGAATTTTTTGATAAACTTTTTTGAGCATCTTATTCATTAAGTCTAGTTTACTCATACCAAATTTCAGCTAAAAATTCAATCGGGAAGACATTCAAATGAATTCTTGAAGATAACTGCGCTTTTAACGGCATAGTTATCTTTCAGAATTCATTTGAATGTCTTCCCGATTGAATTTTTATCTGAAATTTGGTATGAGTGAACTAGACTTAATGAATAATATGCTCAAAAATTTTCATCAAAAAATTCCACCGGGAGCCACCTCAAATGGCACGTCCGGACAGAATCTTCTATATAAGGACTTATTTGACCCCATTTTTGCAACTTCGAGGACCAAACCGATCCTTATCCCCTTTTGGGAGACTAAGGATGTTTTTACTTGGACTGTATTCCGTCCCAGACCAGACTTGGATAGTTATAAAAATAAAAATAGACTAGACATTATCAGACCAGACCAGCAAATTACAGTCCAAGTAAAAACATCCTAATAGTGGAGATAAAATTAAGTGAATCTAAGCATTCACGTTTTAAATATTGCCAATGGCTATCTAAAAATAAAACTTATGCATTTTTGGAATGAATTGAAAGGGAAACACCAAAAACTTGGGTTTAATGCACCAAACACCATTGTGATATACTCCGCATTAAATATTAATTATGTGCATTAGCCTCTCGTGATTTCAAAAATGTGTCAAAGCTCCGGTGTTATAATTTATCTTGCACTTAACTACTTGAAGCAATACATTTAGCAGTCTCTAAATCACGCATGTTAGCGTTATGGTTAAACATTCACGTAAATTTGTCAAGAATTCTAAACGTTTCTTTTTTTACAGTTAAATTTGTCTCATTTCACGGTGTTGTGTGCATGATTAATTATTTGGTATAACATAGGGGGGTTCGCATTTTCGAACCCCACGGGTCACGAGAGAATTTTGTGCATTAAACTAAAAAATATTGTGGGTTGTGTCCGTTTCATTGTGGGATTAAAAGGAAAAACAACATAAACTAAAAAAACATAAACTATACCGATGAAAAACAAAAAAACAGGTAGGGATATAAAAGATGCACTATTTTTAAGGACTTGGAACATACTCAAGCCATATTTTTTGTTGAACATCTCAAGTTTCGTAAAGCTCGAGTTTTCTTGGGTTGTTGCAACTTTACATGCTCTTATATTTTGTCATTTGCTTTCAGAAACATATCTGAACTGTATTAGTTGATGCAGGTCATCTCTCAAAGGCTTGGCTGAAATATGAGAGGATGGGATAGATAACCTTGGGACACGTTGGAGCTTCAGATTATATGAGGGTAGTGCAGATAAAAGATGTTATACTAGGAGTATGTTTTATTATCATTATTCTAAATTTTTTTATTACAAAGATGTAATGTAATCGAAACTTATTTGTAAGACGACTTGCTAAATGTTGAATGCAATTGAAACATGTTGAATGTAATCAACATTCAAGTATGTCTTAATTCTTAGAAACCAGTCAAACCACCATGAAAAAAGCACCCATTGATTGTAGATTTATAGTTAACAACTTAACATAAGTACTTTGGGAAGTGTTGTAACAAACTAAGTGGTTGAGATGAATTGTTTGACGATTACTTTCTCATTGATTAAATGTGAAGTTACTTTAAAAGATTTTGATGTGTTGTTCCAAGATCTGGCTAATCACTGTTAAGTGTTGGATGCAGTTTCTTTTCATTTTTGTCTGGAAATTTTTAGTTAATCCAGTTTTCTCGTTGGTTGTTTTACTGTCTTACAAAAGAAAGATCCATACCTTGTATAAGAATTAAGAATACGCATCTCCCTACATACAGTGATACAGAGGCAATGAGAATAAATAAGGGAATAAATACAAGGGATATTAAAGGAGGTATTCTAGAGATATTGCAAGAGGAATGTTAGGGATTACATATCATCATTAATACAAATAATAATGGAAGGAATAGCTGATTGAGATGCTTTGGTGAAGGTATTGGCGTATAGATATCCAAGAGAAATGTGAGGAATTCAAATATCCCGATTCCTGAAGATGGGCATGTCTACGAACAAAATGAACATCAATTTCAATATGTTTGGTGTGCTGATGTTGTAAAGGGTTGCCAAAGCTATGGTAATAGATTGGCAGAGGAAGATAAACTTCTACTAATAAATTGCGTTTTTAACACGACTCTGCAATAACATTGGTAGTCCTTCTATAGGAGACTCTGTCCGGTCGTTGCGATTTGGGGCGGTTCCCGGTGGAATTTTTCGATGAATTTTTTTTAGCATCTTATTCATCAAGTCTAGTTTACTCATACCAAATTTCATCTAAAAATTTAATCGGGAGCACATTCAAATTAATCCGAGAACGCAAAAATGCGCAGTTATCTTCAAGAATTAATTTGAATGTCTTCCCGATTGAATTTTTAGCTGAAATTTGGCATGAGTAAACTAGACTTGATGAATAAGATTCTCAAAAAAATTCATCAAAAAATTCCACCGGGAACTGCCCCAAATTGAGACGGCCGAACAGAACCTCCTATAGAAGGACTTAATTGACTTTTTTATGAAAGTTTGAGGACCTATTTGACTGTTTTCCCTTGTTTAAAATTGTGAAACCCATTGATCTCTTACGTATTATGGCAGCTATTATTGAGTTAATCAAGGTGCAGTACATGATTGATAATTAATTACAGAGTATTGACTAGCAGCAGCACATTTGTGACAATCATATCTGACACATGTTTTCAGCCAGCCACCAAACACCATTCGCCTCTCTAATGTTACTAATGTTGAAAATACATATGCTCCAAATATACAAGATGAAATTTAAGTAAATTATGTGCATGTTTTTATACACAGCATGCGATCTCCAGTAATTTCCTGAAGCCCAAAGTAAGCACAAACACCGAGTCTAACTAAGAAATTCTGCCAACTGCAATTTCTCTTGGAGCAAAAGAAAGACGATCCAAACACGTCTCAGAAAAAGAAATCAATACTCTGTGAAAAGCTAAAGCTGAAGCTTTGACAAACGTGATGCATATGGTGAAGAAGGCCCTCAGCACCAACATTGGATCTTCTTTCCTAGCAGAAGAAAATGCCTTGAAGAGTATCACTTTGAGGCGTTGATCTCTTATGATAGGTTTATTATAATTGTTGAAAGCTGTCCCACTGTCCAACTGATCTTCGGAGCTAAGCTGTGCTTTTCTAGGGTTTCCCAAAGCTTTTGACATCCACTGATAGAGTATATCTGCAAGAACCCTGCAGAAATGTTGGCGAAATATATCTGCTTCCTTTGAAACCATTGCACGAAGTAATGAAGACCCGTCCTGCATCACACAAGAGAAAGGATCATATCTAAGTCAAGAGCAACTAGGCAATATCAAATTTAAATGATTATGACTAGTCAACTCCACATCTACTGGCTAGACTCAACAAAAAGCCAACCAGCCCTGAAAAAGGAGTTGCAAATGAATGAATCTAAAAAGGACTTTTATTGATTTAGGAACTAAAAGATACTCTCAGTTTTAGACCAAAGATGATTGAAATCATAAATCTAACACTTCCAAAAAACTAGAGTTTTCATTATTTTTAGTTGTTTTTTAACTAATGCTTTATTATGTTTAATAGATAATCTGTGAAGCAACTTTTATTGAAAAACTAACATACAAAACTAAAAGTCTTAGGTTGATAATTTCAAATTCATAAAGAAAACACTGCGACATGAGAAAGAAGTGTGAGGGAAACTTGGCATGTTGTATGTAGAGTTTTGCTTCACAAGGTCAAAGGTACTCACTGCTGTCATCAGGAGTCTTCTAAGCACAGCACCATCTTTAGAGGGTAGTAATTTTAGCACCAAATTTGCAACATCAGCTTTACCATTGACTTCCTCTGCAGAATAGCTAATTGATTCTTGAGGGTTGGACCCAAACACAGAATGCAACCCTTTCCTAAGATAAAAAATGCCCCATGTTCAATACCATAATTTCACTAACCTTTATGCTCAGCCCATTCCAAAAGGATGTTAAAAAGTGTAAATATTAATGCGCCCTTGCTTAAATGTAGTTATCTAATCTAAAATTGAAAATATGGAAAGTTTTGCAATATTAGATAAAGTATTGAAGGGTATAACTGGCGAAATGTAATAAATGTTGTCTTGGAAATGTAAAATGGAGACTAATTTGGGATACGAAAAAACTGAAATACTGACATGTTTTGAGTACATGAAATACTTTGAAGTTGCAATAGTTTATTAAATAGATATGAGAGAAGAAATAGGAAAACAATATTGACCATAGTTTGGACAATTGTTTGGACAATTTTTTAAAGTGATTGATCCTAAACAAGAAAATAAATGAAAGTCAAAATAGACACTTATGTACAGTACAAAAAATCTTAACAATAAATAAGATTGATAAAACTGTGTAACCTAGTTGCTCCGACTCTTAAAAAAAGAGAGAGTCTTTTCCACTGGAATTCCTTCCTTCTATTCAGTACCACCTGCACATAAACAAATAAAAGTAAGAAACCGTCATTCCTCCAGAACAAGTGCATGATTATTCTGTTCATTACAATAATAAGCACAAAGATGTTTCTATGAAAGGAGTTGAAATATATAATACGAGAACCTTTTAAAGATAATACACTGACATCATTATATATAAGCATTCACAAATATGAAAGAAAGACACAATTTCAGGTTTAACCCATACAGAGTGTAGAATGCTCCTCATTGCAGGCGAATTATCAGTAAGAAGTTTCCGGACAACATAGGGGTACGCAGCTTCAAATGTTTTAAACCTTGGGTCTGCAGCCACCGCTAACCCTGAGAAGACCAAAAGTTTTGATCTTACGTGAACAGGAAGGAAATAGATCCATAAGTAACCCAAGTACGAAAGCAATAAAAGCTTTTCAAGTGTATGCTAATGGTGAAACTGGAAATTAACTTCATACGTAGTATGTTATTATGTTAGTCAACAAAGATGTCAAAGAGGTGAGGCTTCCAACAGACTATAGTTATGCAATACTCAACAAAAGAAATATCCCCTCCCTATTAAAATACAAGGGCACTGTACTTTTAGAGCCATTTTTAATGAAATGAAGTGCAGTGTAGTTCAGTTTACTAAATTGTCCCACAAATGGAGCCAATTTTGTTAAATCATTTCAAAAAAGAAAAGAAAGAGAAAGGATGAATCAGACGAAGATACAAGTTGGTGTCATTCGAACTAAGAGAATGGACATTGTTTTGGGAAGATAAGACAGGAAAGTAGGACAAACAGAGTGGGTCATGGGGAGTATAAATAAATGGGAAATAGAACACTCTAGCACTTACGTTTACTAGTACGATTCAGGAAAAGGGGATAAACATCTAAAGGTTTATCAAAAGCAGACATCTACAGGTTTATCAAAGCAGCCCTTCAGATTGTTCATGTTGCCACCATATATCAATATATGTCATCCTAAAAAGCAAAACAAATCTTATCCACAGTAGGGACCTCATCATTTCAGTAGTACTAGAGTAGGCAGTCTATGCATTTCCTTCATAACTTAAAAAACTCTAGTGAAAATGTGACGCTGCATAATAATAAACTTAGAGTCCCACTACAAAAGATCTTTTGTGAAAAACACATCTTTATTCAGGATTATTCAGCACCAACAAAGATATAACAAGGGCATAAACCCAAATATAATCAGAAAAGGGGGAAATATTGTTATGATATCTTAGATATAAAATACAAAAGAGCTTCTAATTTGATTATATACCTTCTAATGAAGCAAGAGACCTGAGGAGAAGGGTGTAGTATGGAGGCATGCGGAAATGAAATTTGAATGCTACAGACAGTATTTTAGCAAGAACCTTCAAAAGAAGAAGCATCTATTACAAAAGCATCATGATCTACAAACCAAAGCTAAATTACATCGCCTTGCAGCAATGCTCTTACTGCCTATCATGCACTTAAACTCATTGGTTCTGATGGTATAAGAACCGTAAAGCTTCAAATCTCAGCTCAACTCACTTCACCTATTCGGCTTACAAAAGAGAGGCTTTAAGCTTTTTATTATATAAAAGAGTAGAATATTTGGTGGATTGATTTCATGTATAAATGTGAAAGTGGAGTCTCATTTTAGACTACTTTCAATAAGCCTTCCAAGTGAAGTGAATTAATAATTATACAAATAGGCAAGCACCAGCACCAAAATATATGATGCTTACCCGACTAAACTTTACATCAGGAATTCCATCCGTAAATTCAACTTCTCCTAAAGCATCTTTCAATTCCTGAAGTTGTGCATTCAATGGAATAGTTAGCGGTAAGGATTTGATCATATTATACTGAGAATCATTTGTGAAATGATAGAGTAAGACTTGCAAAGAAATTTTGATCTTAAAGGTACCATACTACCATTGTAACAAGTCTCCTATCAGTTCCTGGCTTTATGACATCCATTTGAGAAAGTGCCTGTACAAGAGATGCCCAATCACCATTTACAATATGCACTATGGATGCAAGCATGGCATACTGATGTTTCTTTTCCATCCGGCAAAGCAAACCAAAATCAAGAAACCTGCACAAATTGATAGATAAGCACAATGTACAAAATATGAAAACTAGCCAATTGAGATCGTCATAAATGGCATAAAATAAGTCCACCCTATTTTTCCTGAAGAAGTGTAAAGCATATTTCCAGGATGTGGATCGGCATGCAGTAAGCCAGTCTCGATGAGTTGAACTAACGATGCCTCCACCCCTTTGTTAACCTAGAGAATTGTTGAAGCAATGGAATCAATAAGCATTGTGAAGAAAATGCTGGTTGATGGTGATTTATATTCAAATAGGGGACATAAAAGATTTTGAGTTACTAGAACCTCTTCTGTAAAAACATCTCAATCAATTTAAGAAAGTAAGATTTAAAAGAAACACAGGAATTCAACTCACTAGATCAAGCAGACGACGCTTGGCATCATTTTGCAGTGCATCTGAACATGCTGAATGATGACCACAAGAAACCTTTGAAGATATTGATATTAAATCAGTTGGACTTTCACCAGCCATCCACTCCATGGTTAAAACTCTCTTTCTACTAAGATGTGGTAAAACTTTTGGCACACAGATAAAGGAAAACTGAGCATGTTTATCCTGCAGATTAATGTAATCATATAAAAAATAGATTAAAAGCAACTCTGATCTAAAAATGCAGCACCAACTACTCAAAGTAAGATATTCTTGTTATGTTCCAACAACTCATAGTAAAAAATTCTTATTTTGTTTTGAACTACATGTGTGTGTGTGTGCATGACTCTATAGCCATTTTTCAAAAGGGAAACATAGGGTTGAAGTGTGCTCCTAAGGGTACGATGTCTGTGGCAAACACAGTTTAAAGAAGAAAGCTAAAATACCATAAATTCTGAAGCATTTGCAGCCTCCATTGTATAATCTAATTCCCCAACTAACCCTCTCCCGAGTTCATCAGCATAAACGCGAGGATCACTTCTCCTTCTTGCTAACTTTTGCAAAAGACCCAGCTGAAATAGAAATGCAGCATGTTACAAAGTGAGGCAAGTACAGTTGTACACTTGATGAATATCTTACACTCTAAGATACACTTGCACACATACCCCAAGGCGTAGAATATACACATCACGAACAACCACATGGCGTAGGCCAGGGCGCTGTACTTTCACAGCAACATTAAGACCATCAAGAGTATTTCCTCTGTAGACCTGTCAATACACATAATAACGATATCGCGTAAGAGGGAGTAAAGATATAATGAAAAATGTGACACTCTGAAATCAGAAAGCTTTTAACAGTGTTCTTTTCAACTCCAAAACTCATATATGCAACCTGACCAAATGAAGCTGCAGCAACAGGCTCTTCAGAGATATAGCTAAATAAATTTTCGATTGGGGAACCCAATTCTTCTTCAATAATTTTCATAGCTGAAGCCCTTGGAAAAGGAGGAATTTGATCATGCAGTGAAGACAATGCCTGCAATCGTTAACTTAAATAAAAAAAATGAAACTAGCACATGATCTAAAAAATACATCAGCCATCTGAGTACATGAATTGAAATCAAAAGAAAATACAGAGCTCATAAGTCAGTTAAAATATAAGAAATGAAGGCAATGAAATACTATGAAAGTGTGCACATAGCGGAGCATATAGATTTTTTTTCTTAATTCACTGGTAATGACTCTTGACATTTGTTTGAAAAATATGAGATATACTTTTTGGGTGTGGACAACAAGATATAATATTCCCATATATATAATCACAAATTAACAATCGAAATTATTGAATGATGAACTGCAGAATTGATCAAGGAAAATGATAAAAAGGACATAGTTATTCCTTTTTCCCAACCTTGGAAATTTCAGGACCAATGATATCTGGTCTTGTGGAAAGAGACTGACCAACTGCATAACAAGAAATATGAACCATGAAGCTGCCATTTATCAACGTGGTGAAAGAAAACATGTAAGATTTGTCTGATCCACAAGAAATAGAAGAAAATAAAAAAGTAAAACATTCAATAAATAAAGGGAAAATGGAAACTAATAATCCAACCTTTTAACGGTCTTCTTTCAATAATCCCACTTTTTGATTATTCATGAATAATCCAACCTTTGCACATCATCTTCATTCACTGGTCCCTGACCGGTTGATGACCTGCTATTCCAAGCTATTATCTTATCTTTGCAAATCATTATACCATAAATCTCATCTTTCACAAAGATAATATTTTGTAAAGATAAGAAAATAACTTGGAATAGCAGGTCATTAACTGATCAGGGACCAACGAATGAAGATGGGGTGCAAAGGTTGGATTATTCATGAATAATCAAAAGATGGGATTATTGAAAGAAGACCGCTAAAGGTTGGATTATTAGTTTCCATTTTCCCATAAATAAACTCAGAAGATCTTTTATCTTGCCTTTTATAAAAGTGGGGCCCAATCTTAACATTGTCTCCTTTAAAACACTTCCAAAGATGTAGCGTGAAGTTTCCCTGTCAACTTCCTTATTTATACTGGGAAGAATCGCAGAGATCTGAAATCTAATTGAGGTAGATGCAAAAGCAACAAATACCTGTCAAAATATACAAGCCAGCCAAAGGAGTAACTTAGCAGATAGCCTCATACAGTTTTAGTGTCTTGTTTTTCTGAGTTATCACAATTCTTTTTTGCCTTACTGTTAAAATCTGTGTTTCAGGGTCCAACTACTAACGCATAATACTTTGCAGAAAAAGAATGGAAGGGAAAAAAAACTTGCAGTTGTCATCTGTTGTTCACTAGGAAGCAAAAACAAATGGAGAAAGTTACAAGCACAAGTTTATTCCAATTACAAAAAAATGGTGCATCATAGACTTGAGGTTGCATTATGATGAAAAGAGATTGTTCTCAGAAAACTAAAAGCATTGAGGTGGAAGTCCATAGAAAGAGAACAATACCAGTATGCTTCAACCAGAAAGAAAACTACCAAGCTTGGGAGAAAAAGCTCATAAGGACACAGTAAAAGGACATGTGGAAATGAAGAGTTGAAGACAGAGCTAAATTATTTATTATTGTCTACAGGAACTTACTAGCCACTTCAACCTTTAGAAAAGTATGGATGAAACTGCAAGTAATAAGGTAAAGTGCATGTTTGCTTGGTTGATATGTGTTTAAGTGTTTTACCTATTAGTCTGTTTAAGTAATAAGGTAAAGTGCATGTTTGCGATGACTATGCCCTGAATCGTTATAATCAAACATAAGAATATGGTCTGGTGGGGTAAAGGGATGTCGGATGTACGCAATCTTACTCCTGTACTTAAGCACAAAGAGACTGTTTCCGGATGACCCATAGTGAAAATCGCGTCGAAAATTGCATGGACTAACTATTGCTTCATAACAAAGAAGCGTAGACAGTTTAGTGAGCCATTTTGCTTTATTTCATCATATTTCCAAGCCAATAAATAGCGAGTCTTTGGCTCCATTGTAAATATTCAGGGCAAGGTGTGAAATTAAAATTAAGCGATGAATTGAAAGATACATAAGTATATCACTACCTCAAGAAGACGGAAAGCCACTATGTGTGGCCTCAAATTGAAATAGTCATCGACTTCTTGAGGATCATAGTTTTCAGGAAGTGGTCTGGTCCATAGCTTTGAAAAGCTGTAGAAATATTTGAAGTATGCATCCAGTGCTTTGAGATCAGCCATAAACAAGTCTAATCCAGAAAGTTCTGTAAACATTGTCAAATCCGGAATATTAATAAAAGTATAACAAAGATTACACTCAAATGATCATCTGTACACATAGCTCATGATTGGGTGACCAAGATTTCTTCAACAAGGCAATAATGTGCTTCTTAAACAGCTACTTCCTCAACAGTTTCCACAATTCTATTAGTCCCAATTCTCAGCTCAAACTCATGACTATCATAATTGCCTAGCTTCTAAAAATCTAATCGGTAAAGGCGCGCTCAAAAAATATGGCGCAACCAGCATGATATGAACAGTGTCACCTCAATTTAGACCAGGAACCAGATTTTGCAGCGTTGACTGATGCAGGAAGATGCAAACCTGGATAGTAAGGCTGAGGCCAATGAGCAGGGCTCCGAAGCTCAGATGTGGAGGCCTCTGGATTCTCGATAGTACGTAACCAAACCAAATCGCTAACTGATTTCGAGAGCTTCGGAATTGAAAGAGCCTGGTTAGCCCATCGAAGGCCTTTGGCAAAGCCTTTCTGTAACAACTCCGAGTCCTTGCGAATCAACTTCTGCTTCTGGACAGCCTGGTTCTTCTTCTTCTTCTTCACTGTGGTAGAAGCGGCCATCACGGAGCAGAGAACGGCTGAGGGAGCGGCTATAGGCACGGCTACAAAAGCCATTTTTGAGGGGCTTCGTGAATAACGGACGTGGTCTGAGTCGGTAGTGAGCTTGAAACAATTCTATGATAGTATTGGTAGGTTCAGAATACTGCATTTAGTTGAATGCAGAGTGCAACATGAACGGAATGCTTTAACCGGCTGGCTGCATTCCTGGCAACTTTGCAATTTCCATAAACTTTAAGGCTATCTTCCAATTTTCAATTCAGGTTATATTGTTTATATTCTCCCATTTTCATTCTGTTCATCTGCAAAAACTCGGGCTTCTCCTTCAAAATTTTATTCTTTCACAGTTTCACATGTATCAACGGATTGCATTGTTTTTGTATTCCTGTGAATGCATCTACAATGAAGCATAGCCACGTTTTTTCCGACATGTAAATTTTGTAGTCCCATGTATCTTTAGAAAAAGTAGTCCCATCTATCTTTAATCAGTTTTTGATCATTCTATCAGTTTGATCATTTAATCGTAATTGTGTTTTTTAATATATGTTTTTCTCTTTTTCTCATAATATCTTTTTCAGTTAAATGTCAACATCCTTGATTGAAACGAGTTTCGAACATGTGATCTCCTCCTGAGTATTACAGTGATGTCGTCGAATCACAAGATGTTTGACAATTTTTAATATTTAAAAAACTCTAAAAAATTGTTAAAATTTGAACAAATATATACAAAAAATTGTAAAATTTTCATTATATCAAAGTCAATATTTTTTTAATTTTTATAAATATTTTTTTTTATTCTACGCCTATTTAAAAGTTTTTTATTATTTTCACTTTATTTTTTCCATTCTCTGATTTTTTTTAACGTGTTTGAAATTTTATGTATTTTTACATTTATACTATTTTTTATATTATTATTAGATTATTCATTTAAATTTATATGAGTTTTTAAGATTTATCAATACTCCTAATTTAATTTAAAAAAATGACTTGATTGATTGTATTTTAAAAGTAAACATACTTTTACCTCTTTTTAGTACAGGGACATAAGTGACATATTGCAAATAATAGAAGAGTTTATTTGACTCTTTTTCCATTATCTTTTTAGCTTTCTTTTTCGTCTGTCAGAAGGTAATTTTGTATTTTCCCTTTTAGTTAAAAAAACTAATTCAAATACTTTAAACTTTGAAAAACTACGACATAAACATCTCAAACTTACATATGTAGTATATAATTTAAATATCCTGAACTTTATATAAAGAGTTATATTAGCACCGTGAATTTTCACCACTAATTTATGTCCATAAATTTTAAATTAATATATGATTATGGTGTTAAAGTACTTTTTATTTAAAGTGTGGGACATTTACCTCACACCCCTTCAAAGTTTGTATGTAGTATTTGAATTATTTTTCTATTTTTAGTAAAGGATTATAGAGGGTGTTTGGATCTGCTTATTAAAACTAATTCTACTCCTCCAGAGAGTGGAAGCATATATGAGAGTGTTTGGGTAAAAGTGTAAAAATGCTTCTAGGTGTTCAAAATTGTTCATAGAAACAGTTTTTAAAAACTGATGATAATTTTACTTTTGCTTTTAAATAAGAAGCAGAAGTAGAATCAATCCCAAACACTATGTGATCGTTACACCGTGCACACGGTGTACCGATTCCAAAATGGCACCATTTTAATTTAAACCGCATCCCCTTAACACAGAGCATCTATGCCCAACAAGGTAAAGGCCCAAGACACTCGTCTTCAGGCTTTACAACCCAGAAGGGACAGTAAATCACAATGGCCCAACACACGTACTATATGACGCTCATCTCATCTGGCAGGACGGTCGGCCTCTGAGACCTTAGCCCATTAGAACACCTGGGGACGTTCTAGCACCTATGACCAGAGGATACGCAAGACGCTCGTCAGCTAGCCCTTACTCTAGTAACGCAAGGAGCCCCAACGCCCTGACGACGCTCGTCCACAGACCTTGGCACACTACAAGAAAAGTGCACATAGACCGCACATAGACCAATATTTTTTTTGCGATGGCCGCATAACTGTCGTTAAAAACACTATTAACCACACATTTTTTTATTTACCACATACAAAACTGTGGTAAAAGGTCATAGACGACAGTTTTTAACCGTGGCCAATGTTTTTACCACGATTGTTGTGGCGACACACGTAATACTGATACAAAACTGTCATAAATGTTCCTCCTTATGTTCTTACAACAGTTTTGCGACAGTTTTAGGTGCGTCGGCACAACAACCGTGGTAAAAACATTGGTCACGGTAAAAATCTGTCGTCTCTAAGCTTTTACCACATTTTTGTGTGTGGTAAATAAAAAAATGTGTGGTTAATGGTGTTTTTAACGACAGTTATGCTGCCATCGCAAAAAAAATGTAGTCCATGTGCAGTCTATGTGCACTTTTTTGTAGTGGCGGGAAACCAAGATATTGGCGCGAGGTGCATTTAATGCAGAAGATTTGGTGGTTGGGGACCTAACCATCCACAACTTTCCATGTCAGCAGATCTACCTACCCCTTGGTAGTATAAATAGTACTACCTCTGTCCCACTATGTTTTGGGACAATTCGGTTTACGATGCTTGACCGACGATAAAACAAACAGATCCTTGTCTGCACTCAAATTAATTTTAGAAAAAAAAAATTACATATTTAGAAACTACATTAAAAACTTTACAAAGTCGGAAAACCAGAATCAAATTTGATAAAAATTTAATACATAAAGTAAGATATCAAGAGTGATTTGTGTTGACCAAGTGAATAGTGTCTGAGACAATCTTAGCGGGACGGAGGGAGTATCATTTATTTCATTGTAAAGAGTTGACAACTTATTCTCTCTAGCATTTAGCAATATTCTCAGTTCTTCTTTACAGATCATGTCTATTTTCGGGCCTATGGGCTAGATAATATTTTGGGCTTATATTCAAGACAAATAATAAACTATATTTATTTAAAATAATAATAATAATAATATTATGTAATAAGGGTCATTAAATAAAAACGAAAGTCATTTTATTATTATTATTATTATTATTATTATTATTATTATTTTATTATTTAAATTATATATTTGGTGAAAAGTAACAACACAAGTATCACATAAAATGAAAAACATTACTTAAGAACGTTTCTAACGGAATTTTCAAGATTTAATTTCTTAAGAAAACAAAATTTTCCATTGATCCCTTCTAGCTTAACCCTGACTTTTCTAATATTCTTCTCTTTCTCTCTTTATCCCAACTCGATTCACCAATGTTATCAAAAATAATATTGGTCACAGATGGATTGTTTGAAATCTTGAAAGAAGAAGTTTTTTGGTCACCGACCATCATGAGTACGTCTCATATGAGCCTCATTGATCGAGTCGTATAAGACAACACGGTTTTAATAAAAATATTACGGAGTAATCACCGTGAATTCGCAAAAGTTACATAATTTCTGGTAAACTTATGCGTGATTCCATTGAATTACTGTTTGAAATGAACTTTTCAAACTCACACCTTTACTTTCTTTTTATTCTTGGGAAAATGGAAACTAATAATCCAACCTTTTAGCGGTATTCTTTCAATAATCCCACCTTTTGATTATTCATGAATAATCCAACCTTTTCACCTCATCTTCATTCATTGGTCCCTGGTCGGTTAATGACCTACTATTCCAAGTTATTTTCTTATCTCTGCAAAATATTATCTTTGTGAAAGATGAAATTTATGGTATAATGATTTGCAACGATAAGAAAATAGCTTGGAATAGCAGATCATCAACCGGTCAGGGACCAGTGAATGAAGATGAGGTGCAAATGTTGGATTATTCATGAATAATCAAAAGGTTGGATTATTATAAGAAGACCGCTAAAAGGTTGGATTATTATTTTCCATTTTCCCTTTATTCTTTTCTACAAACTTGAATTTTGATACCTAGCAAGCTAGTTATATTAATTTCTAGTGCAGTTCGTCATGCGTGATTTCATTGACCCATTCCACGTTATATAATGCTCCACTCCGCTATACGGAGTAGTCATTTATTGAACCTAGTTATCGTAACGGAGTAACCTCAACCCGGCCCGGCCAAAGTGGCAAAGTGGCTCCGTTTAAAAAATGGTTCCGTCAAGTGTAGAGGGGAAATCTTGTGTTATCATCATTATCATTCATATTGTCCTGCTTCTTGGTATATCAGGGCTTCTCGGGGGTCTTGCACTAAATAAGGTACTAATTTTTTAGATTATTAACGGTTCATTTAAAAAGATTAACTGTCATATCATTCCTACTCTCTCAAAAAAAAACTGTTATTATTCCTATTGCGGTTGATCATCTTGCTTCGAAACATGATTTACCAATTCCATTTTAATTGTGTCACACGTACAGACGTGCTGTAGATAGAATTGGTTCAATATAATTCACTTAAATCTACGGAAATTTATGAATTATAGCTGGGACCACTGAATTGTTAGGTTAGTGAGAGTATAGTTGGGTGAGTGATCGAGACTCGAGAGTGTGACTGTGTGAGTGAGTATACATGAATACTTTGAGCTCGTGATCCTGGAAAAGGTCTGAGGGTCGTGTTTTCCCCAACATGAATTGGATGAATTACGAATAATTATATTTAAAACAAACTTTGTATGAAATAATTATACCGCTCTATCTCATTTTACTAATTGTGTCAAACTAAAACAAGACACATAAAATGGGACGAAGATAGTACATGCATAGTACTAAAATAGTTCCCCCGAACAAATTCAGTCGTCGTCAATTTATCATTTTATCATTACACAATTCAGGGCTTAGAATTAAATGTTTAGTTTTAATTTGATAAGCAAGTCAGCTAATAATCTGAAATATGTGTTATGAAAGAGACACACAAAATGTAAATGGTCTAGCGAAGAGTCTCATACGTAGTAAATACCTACTACACCACTGCTTTAATTGTTCCAAAGGGTTAGAACCCACAACCCCAAAGACGCCTACACCCTGACTTCACAAGGCATTTGAGATGTTATAAGTCACGGTGAACTGTAACCTGCACACGTTCGTTGCGGATTTTGATTCTTAGTCAATGTTCAAACTTTCCCAACACCACTACTCTAAGGCCCTGTTTGGTTGGAGGATTTTGGAGGGGAAGAGAGGGAAGTGAGGGATTTGTGTGTGTTTGGTAGAAGGAAATGGGGGAGAAGGGGAGGAAAGTGGAAGGCTTCCGAAACCCTTCACTTCCTCCCATTCTCAACCTCCCAAATCGGGTATTTCGGAGGAAACGTGTTGATAACCACAAACTATCCATCAATGTGAATGGACAAAACCTTATAATATAAAAAAGATAAACAATAAAAAATTTTAAAAATTAAAAATAAAAATAAATAAAAAAATTTTAAAAATTAAAATTTTTAAAATTTAAAAATTTAAAAATTTAAAAATATAAAAATTTAAAAATTTAAAAATTTAAAAATTCAAAAATTTAAAAATTCAAAAATTTAAAAATTTAGAAATTTAAAAATTTAAAAATTTAAAAATTTAAAAATTTAAAAATTTAAAAATTTAAAAATTTAAAAATTTAAAAATTCAAAAATTCAAAAATTCAAAAATTCAAAAATTCAAAAATTCAAAAATTCAAAAATTCAAAAATTCAAAAATTCAAAAATTCAAAAATTCAAAAATTCAAAAATTCAAAAATTCAAAAATTTAAAAATTTAAAAATTTAAAAATTTAAACATTTAAAAATTCAAAAATTCAAAAATTCAAAAATTCAAAAATTCAAAAATTTAAAAATTTAAAAATTCAAAAATTCAAAAATTTAAAAATTCAAAAATTTAAAAATTCAAAAATTTAAAAATTCAAAAATTTAAAAATTTAAAATTTTAAAAATAAAAAATAAAAAATGCAAAAGAAATGTTATGACTTATGACCTTAGGAGTAAATTGACTTAAGTAAGCCATCTAATAAAGGTAAATTGAGAACTTTCCTCCTATTTCCTCCAACCAAACACAATATTTTTTCAAAATCCTTTCTTCCCCTTCTCTTTCCTTCCCTCCTTAACCCTCCCCTTCCCTCCCCTCCTTTGAAACAAACAAGGCCTAAAAGTAAGAACATGTGGGATTGTGGGATGACTTCATGTTTGAGATGCAAACCTTAGCTTTTAGAAAATTCTCAGGTTTATTACTACTCATTATTATTGTTGTGTTTATTGTTTTTTTTTTTGAACGATTGTTGTGTTTATTGTTATTTCGGGTGATTATTATTATTACTCCGTTCGTTCCATTTGTTTTTTTAATTTTTATTTGGGATGATGAAAACCGCAGCTGAAGCATCACAGAGATGTCGTTGGGAATCTTAGTGGATTTGCAGCATTCTCGCTTGGAGTATCTTACCTGTTAACCGTGATTCTAGCACTTTGGTTTTGGTGCTACAAAATAAGTGAAGAAACCAGGACTGCTACACGACGCCTCACGTTGGCAACGATGTTGTTTCTTTTCCTCACAACGTACGTATGTCTTTCTTCTTATTGAATAACGTAACCGGCCGTAGTAGAATATATACTTATGCACGTACTATATACGTACTACTCGTACAATATTTTTATATGGAGTATTTTTTCGCAGATTATACTATACATCCGGGTGTATGTACACCCGATTTTTAAATGACGTGACAGCCATATTCCGTCTTTTCTTTCTCTTCTTCAGTCGTTCTCTTTTCTTTCTTTTCTTCCGGCGTTCTCTTTCCTTTCTTTTCTTCCGCCATCCTCTTTCCTTTCTTTTCTTCCCCTATCCTCTTTCCTTTCGTTTCTATTTTCTGCCGCCATCCATTTTGATTGTTACGTTTTAGGGTTGTTTTTTTGTTTGTTTTTCTGTACTTTTACTGTTAGCTATTTTACTTTTCTTTTGTTTTGCCTTTTACTTTTTTGCTTCTTTTCGTTTCTTTTGTTGTTTAGTTCTTCTTTTTTATACATTATACCAAACAAATTAGAAATGAATTTTACCTTACTCAAATGAGTAAAATGTCTAAAAAATGAACATACATAAATGAGCTTTTGAATTTTTGAATACTCATTTTGTAAATTATGTATACTTATTTAGTATATCTGTTGTGCTCATTTTTAAAATGTTTTAGCAATGCTCATTTCAAAAGTCTCATATTACATTATTAGATTTATATAAGAGTTGATTATAGACACGAGACCACAAATCATGATACTCAATCGCAGATTCTAATACTCAATAACGGAGGTTTGATGCTCAACGAATAAAACTTATATTTTCCATATCAATGCTCATCTTGTAAGTTACATATGCTCATTTGCATATGTCTGATGCTCATTAAAAATTCATTAATGCTCATTTAACAAATTATTATTTTTCATCTCAATATAGGAGGTTTGATGCTCAATGAAAATATAGTGATGTCCAATTAACACGATTTTTTATCAATGCGCATTGTGTAGCTACACATGTTTATTTGGTACTAATTTTATGCTCATATGTAAAATGGCATATCAATGCGTGTGTAAAATGTTCAACAAAAAATTTACAATGTTCATATCGATACTCATCTTGTAAGTTACGCATGCTCATTTGTATAGGTCGAATCCTCATTAAAAAGTCATTAATGCTCATTTAATTTTACAGAAATCATGATTATCATCAATCTCAATAGAGGATGTTTGATACTCAATGAAAATGTCGTGATGTTCAAATAACAAAGCAGCTAACAAATTCATTAATACTCATTTTGTAAGTTACGTATGCTCATCTGGTAGAGACTTTATGCTCATTTTCTAAATGTCATATCGATGCATTTTTTAAAGTACTATTTTACATTAATTCACATATTGAAATTCACAGGAGTTGATTATAAATATAATTTAATAAAATTTTATAAAAGAAAAAATAACAAAAAGAAAGTGAATTAGAAGTTATGAAGCGGAGATCAAAATTCTCAATATTAGACTCCTAATACTCAACAGAATGGGTATGATGCTCATTAAACGTTTATTATTGCTCATTCATTAGAAACCGTGAATTTCATCTCAATAGCGGATGTTTGATGCTCAAATATTAAATGTGAATATATAAAACGTGAAATGAGTATCAAAAAGTTCAAAATGAGCATTACGCCAATATGCATGGATATGACATTTAAGTTGCCTCGTGTAATGCTCATTTTAAAATGAGCATTACACCAATATCAAATGAGCATTCTAATTTACGAAATGAGCATAGAAAAAATTTAAAAGCTCATTTAAAATCTCAAGTATGCTTAAATATCAATTTGTATATTCAGTATGCTCAACAGAATAGGTCTGGTGCTCATTAAAAGTTCATTATTACTCAATCTCCAGAAGTCGTGATTTTCATCTCACTAACACCATATAAAAAAATTATAAACATATTTATATAAAGTAATAGTATGATTCATAAATCAAATAAATACTTCAAAAATATGAATTAGTCTTTTAATATAGTAATAATGAGAAAAAACAAAAGAATAGTTAATAATATAATTACTATAAATAATACGCAGTATGAAACTATATAGGATAAGTAAAATAAATGAACTAATTATCTCAACAAGACAAGTCAGCGAGATGGTTGGAAGGCTGCTTATTCTACTTCATGTCGCGGGATTGAATCCTGCTGGGGTTTTTAATTTTTTTTAGTGAAGGAATTTAGTTCCTTGTGGCCGCGATTCGCTGGGAGCCCACTAGTCAAATTTAATAATTGGACTGGATGGTGAGGCGCACTTGACAAAATGATCTGGTCAAATTTTTTTAATAAAATTTTGTGGGCATGTTCTTCATAAAGATTAGATTATTTACACAAAATTTCAATTTCTAATTCAATTAAGAAGTTAGTTAAATAAATTATTAAAAAACATTGCGATATTTAAACATACATAAAGCTAGGGATGGACTCGGGCCGGGCGGCCCGACCCGGAACCGGCCCGGCCCGGTTACTGTTGAGCCCGGCCCGGGAACCGGTGGGCCCAGCGGTTCGGGTCGAACCGGCCCGGCCTTTGGGCGGTTCGGGCTCGGGCCTATGTTTTGGTGAACCGGCCCGGCCGGTTCGGGCCCGCTTCGGGCCGGATTTTTTTTTTTTTGAAATTCTTTAAAGTTTTGGGTTGGATTAGGTATTTTGGGCCATTTGAGGTGGTTTGGGGTGGAGGGGGAGGGGTAGGGGGTTAAATAAGAGAAGAAGAAAAAAAAAATCCGGGTGGCCCGGCCCGGCCCGGACCCGGAACCGCCCACCACCGGTTCGTGCTCGGGCCTCATTTTTCTGAACCGAGGCCCAGTCGGGCCTAGGCCCGAATCGGGCCCGAACCGGGCCCGAACCGGGCCCGAACCGGCCCGAGGCCATCCCTACATAAAGCACACTGTTTTTCAATAATTTATTTAACAGATTTTCCGATTGAATTTTGAGTTGACATTTTTTTGACCTAATCTACACTTAATGAAAAACATACTCACAAACTTTCATCAAACAATTTCATCCGAAAGCTTCTCAAATAGATTTGTGGGCCCGAGGTGAACGAGACTCAATATATATATTACTCCTAAATAATTTATGGGCCCTTCTTCCTGGTGGGCCCTGGGCAGCCGCCCATCCTGCCCCTATATCAGGACCGGCCCTGCTAGTGACCATCTCACACTGTCGCTTGCACTCCACCAACACAACAATTCCATCACTACTTTTGCCTCCCGTAGACCGGCCTGCACCAACCGAAACACCCCAAAACCAGTGACTACCATCGATCTGGCACCACTGCCAGCACTTACCCACACTTGCACTCCCCCACCGCCCCTCCCCGCCACGGTCGCGACCACCACTCCGTCCGGCAAACACACCCCGCCCCAGCCCTTCACAATCGCTACCCAACACTCTGTCCCCACCTCCGTCCCTTTCTACTGAACCACCTCCACTCCCTTTGCCTAGGCAAAACCTAGCCACACACCTCCACCCTCATTCTACTTTAGAAAAAATTATGCAATATTGATGTCATTTGAAAGATAATAAAAAATTATGAACTTTGATAACTTTTTTTAAAGTTAGAGTAAGAAAATGATAGTTTAAATTAAAATAGGATTTTAGTTTTTGGTTGTTCCCAACCTCTTTACCTCTCTCCTTTCATTGCTATTCACTCGGAACTAGCGTTTCCGAAAAGAAAAGAAATCTAACCCTAGCTTATTCGGAATACCCATTTCCGATTCCCGTTTTATTAATTAGAAGCCCTAGTCAAATCCCCGTGTTTTTGCACCCCATGTTACCCATTTTGAGAAAACACCCGTTATGTTTATAAAGACTAGATTTTTACCCGTTTGTTGCACGAGATGCAATTAGTAAGCATTAATTTTTTTAAGATCATAAACAAATGTTACGAATTATTATAAACCTCCGTCTAAACAACACTTTTTTATCAGTTTATATTAAGAGTATTAATACTTTCAAATACGGAGGATTTTTTGAATTTTCATTTTCGTACATAAAAAAGCTATGGTGAGCTATTCATTTTTTTTATAAATCATTGATAGACCAACAATTTATTTTATTATTAGTGTAATTCAATTTATCCAATTAAAAGTAGGAGGAAAATAAAACCACAATTGACAATCAAACAAAGAAACGGCTGCTATACCCAAAGAATGACATGAGAAAACTTGACACTATTCAAATTAGCAATCATAAATCTAAGGCTACAGAGTCAAATAGACCCTTGAACTGATTTAAAGTGTTCAATTAGCCCCTGATCTATAGGAGTTTCTGCCCGGCCATCGCTAATTGGGCCGGTTCCCGGTGGATTTTTTTGATGAAATTCTTTGAACATCTTCTTCATTAAGTCTAGTTTACTCATACCAAATTTCAGCTAAAAATTCAACCGTGAAGGCAGTCAAATGATTTTCCAAAATGTACTGCGCTGTTTAACTTCACAGTTATCTTCAAAAAATCATTTGACTGCCTTCCCGGTTGAATTTTTAGCTGAAATTTGGTATGAGTAAACTAGACTTAATGAAGAAGGATGTTCAAAAATTTCATCAAAAACTTCCACCGAGAACCACCCCAATTGGCGATGGCCGGGCAGAACCTCCTATATAAGGAGTTAATTGAACACTTTAAGTTAGTTCAAGGGCCTATTTGACCCTTTAGCCTAAATCTAATATCATCCGCAACCAAATCGAAACCCGAAGAGTCCTTCCCGTCTTGGATCTCTCATAGATTACGTGAACCGCGTTGAACTCTACCTCCAGATTACTCCAACCACAGGACTCCAACCAAGCCAATGCTTCACGTACCCCAACATCTATGCTTCCTTGTTGTCACTTGCTAAACAACATGATATTATCTCAAAATTTTATGATCTTCACCGAACCATTAAGGTTTGTATCTGATTGCTTTCTAAAATCTTAGAAAATCATATCTCTGAACATTTAATGTGATCACAATTAGAACATCAAATGATGAAATTTGTACATCCTCAGTGGTGTACACTTTAGAATGTGTCTTCGTAAACCCGAACTCGTCACTACCATCACTTATCATTGCAAATATATGTGTTAAAAAAGACCCTAGCATAGGTGAGGGATAGAGTTTGTTGAATATTGATTCACAAAAGGTTTAAATATGGCTTCTAAAACTCAAATTGGAGTATATTTGCAAGTATGCAGTAGTAGTATTATACAATCGCGTACCTAGTCTGGAATTCTTTAGTTCATGGTCCGTACCTAGACGGAAAAGATGGAAGGGGCGAGACATGAAATTGTGAACAAAAATCTACTGCTGAGTGTCGAGTGATTAAGGAATGTTGGTCTTATGGGAGATCAGCACCATCCTTTGATTCAGGGCTTAACCGCCCAACCTGTTGGCACCAGGTGCAGCCCCTCATGTCTATCCACCGCTCAGTAGTGGGGCTCTGCACTGCCGTAGTGAACTGTGGGGGGTGCCCCACAGGAATCTACCTTGACTTGGGGACTACAGAGTAATGGGTTAAATAGAGGGTGTCCACTTCCTTATCACCAATTGGTTTTAAGAAAGATATGGCTGCTATTTAACCACAGAACTCTGGAGTTAAGCGAGCCCGGGGTAAGAAAGCCCAAGGATGGGTGACCCACTGGGAAGTTTGTCGACAAGGGGTGAATCGATCCAACAAGGAAGATGGACGATCCCGATGATAATTTGTTTGAGCGGGAGAATGGAATGGAAAAAAGTATATATATATATATATATATATATATATATATATATATATATATATATATATATATCAATATATGTATATGATTATGTAGGATGATTGTTTACTGTTGATTCCTTAAATTTTCATTCAGCCCATATATTAAGTTTTCACTAAAATAAATCATACTACGTCTATATTTCTATATTATATACTCCGTACATTAATGATCTTGAACGTTTAGAAAATTGGACTGACTTCGGAGTCAAGTACAAGTATGTAGTATGTACTAGGGCTGTTAACGAACCGAGCTTTTATCGAACTATTCGAGCTCGAGCTCGGTTTCGAACCTAACGAACCGAGCTTAACGAGCTTTCGAACTCGAACCCGAGCTGAGTTTTAAGTTCGAAAAGTTAATCGAGCCGAGCTCGAACATAGTAGTATTCGGCTCGGTTCGAACTCGAGCCTATCGAACACCCTAAAATTTTAAATATAATTTATATATATTTCAAAATTTAAATATAATTCGTATGAATTTATGAATTTAAATATGATTATTAACGAACCGAATACTTGTCGAATCATTCGAGCACGAGCCTATTAACGAGCATCGCCTAAAATTTTAAATCCAGGCATATATTTATCGAGCTTATCGAGCGCTCGGTTCGAACATCGAACGTCTATCGAGCCGAACACGAGCCTCATTTGTAAAGCTCGCCGAGCTTCGAGCTCGAACACGAACACCCCTAATTCCTTAACGAGCCGAATTCGAGCTTTGGGTGTTCGGGCTCGGCTCGGCTCGTTAACACCCCTAGTATGTACATAGTGAAATCTGTAAACTTTAATACTGAGTATTAAATATAATCACTTGCCAAACTTATTTTAATTACGGACTAGACTATAATAGACAGGGGCGGAGTCAGGGCAGTGAGCCGGATTGGGTTGATACAAAGAATACTTTTGGAAAAAATTACACACAAATTTTTAATTTACACTAAAAATATAGGCATTTTTAAAATTTGGGGTGGACCGATTATTGGACTAAAAATATAGATATTTTTGAAATTTGGGGTTGGCCGGGTATTTGGAGTAAAAGGAATTTTTTACAGTTGTTTGGGATCAATGATCAATCGATCTTTATGCTATATTTGTAGTCTCTTTAGTAACCTATTTTTCGGCTTATCAGCCATTTTTTTCACAAAACACGTACGGAGTAACTTTTAATTCGCGCGGTGAATTATGTAATAATAAGAAAAAAATATAAGGCTGGAATTATTATTTTAACTGTATCGGCTGAAGTTAGCGTATAAGAACATTTTAGTTTTTTGTTCATATATATTTTCTTTATTTTATTAATAAATTACTATGTCTATTTTAAATATATATTTTTTCATAAATTAGTACTACGTATAATCAATCAATCGAGTCATTTCAGTCAGAACTTTATAAATTTCAGCAGAATGCAACCAAATTGGGCATTACCAAAGGGTTGTGGCTTTTCAGTTACGTTGTAAAAAAATAAAAAATAACATGCAAATGGGCTCTACTCTGTTTTGCATCTAATTATATTGTTTTAATGGTAGGCTATAAATGCAAGCATCCTCTAGTTAATCTTGATAAATGCATGCATCCACATTGATCTTGATCTGATTTATTGAATTAAATGAAATTTTGTCATTGAGATAACATTTGATTTCATGGGTGTGGGCACGCAGGGCGGTATCGACGGTAGGAGAGATTATGCTGGTGAAAGTAAAAAAGGGAAGCAAGAATTCTGTAGGTCCTTCTGGAGCAAGTGGGATCTCTGATCACATGTTGAAAACCTACTTGATCGTTGTAGTGTGTTGCTGCTCTTTCCAAGGGATTTATGCCCTCGCCAGTTTTTTTGACATTAGTTGCATTCGTGGTGCTGTGTTTGACTCCGATTATACCCGACATGGTCAATAATAAAATCATACTCCGTACGTACTGTAGGTGTACTACTAATTCATGAAATGATGAGAACACGTGAAAGATACACTACGTCATTTCAACTCTTATTGTATCACCCAAAAGTTTTACAATATCACTAAAAAGTGTTACATTAGAGAAAATTTAACACTTTTTTACCATTATATTTGTTCATGTTGCATTAGATCTATTGTAACACTTTATAGTCCCTAATCTAACATTTATACTTCTAGAAAGTGTTACATTAGGTCTAAAAAGTGTTACATTAGAGAAATATGTAACACTTTTATAGATATGTTGCATCTTTAATATTACATTAGGTCTAAAAATGTAGTAGTGATGGATTAACTTGCACAAGCCCACTCCCAGACCGTTACACCCTAGCTAACATAGGGGAATTCCTTCAGAGTTCTATTTTTTCATTTGTAGATGCTTATATTATAGGGGACACTACAAGAAAAAGATACTAATACCTAAGGAAATTACTAGGGCTGGGCAAAGTGGTTCGGTTTGACCGAACCGAACCGAACCGAAAATTTGGAGTTTGGTTTGATTTGGTTTGGCCCAATCAAGCCATTTGGTACAATTATTGGTAAACCGAATGGTCCGGTCCGGTTCGGTTATAAAACCGAAATATACCATAGTACCCGATCGGTATCCTACTCTAACAAATAAACATACCCATTCCCGAAGCCCAAATTAGAATGTTCCTCAGTCCGCACAAACCCTCGATCACAAATAGTCAAATACGATTGTAATACTCTCATCACAAACCCTATCCATATGCCGCCTTCATCTCCTTCCCCAATTTTCACTATCTTTAATCGTTAGTGCCGTCTCCATGTAGTCTTCTGTCTTCCTAACAACGAATTGCGAAACTCAACTCGAAAGTTTGAAGTCTCTGAACTCTGAAATCTTGGTGGTTAGCGGAAGGGTTTTCTGGTAAGTATAACTCTTCATTCTTTTCTTTCTTTGTTAAATTAGGACCCAAGACTACAACCCTCTGTTTGAAGGATGTTTCAGTGATGTGTATAACTGAGATGTAAACTGTTCACTTTTTTAGCACACAAGATGAAACTGCATAATGATGCCAAAAGAAGTGACTGATTTCTTAGAAATGACAAACAATGTAAGTTGTTTGTCATTGCACAGGTCATATTATATAATACATTTGCTTCTTCGATCCTCTAGAACAATATTTAATACTTGCTTTCGTCTAGGGTTCCAACGGCCTCCTTCAGAAGCTTTTGTGCTTCTTCTCTTCTCCCTTTTATGTCATCAACGCATTTTTATGTACTCTGTTGTATCTGACATTCTAGGATGTGTATAATTGTTGCCCTAGCGTTGTAGTATATAACTTTTAGCTGATTTGTAGCAAATTGGTACTTCTTGATCCTGTTCTTCACTAATAGTAAATATTATTATATTGTTGTGCTTTTGCAGATGGCAGACTTTTCATCATGTGAAGATAATATGAACATGGTTGATATTGATTTTGACCTAACCATCGACCCGGTGGATAACGTTGAGGTTGGACAGAAAAGGAAGAAACCTGCCGCGACAACCAGTGCGCTCCCCCCAAAAGGACCAAAACAAAAGAAAAAAAGAAATACCTCCTAGATCAAAGGTATGGGATCACTTCACAAAGTTCGGTCAAAAACTAGATAGGTGTAAATGCAATTATTGTGCAAAAGAATATCAGTGTGGGTCGTCCAAATGTGGAACTAGTACTTTGAAGGCCCATAATGATAGATGTCAAGAGTATAAAAATCATCTTGATAGGGAAAGGGAAAAAGTTCTCAGTTATGGTGATAAGGTAGGTGATGGCAGTAATCAGGTCAATGGTGAGCTTGTGGCCATAGGTTTAGTCAAGAAGCTTGTAGAAATGCCATGATTAAGATGATTATTTTGGATGAATTGTCATTTCGTTTTGTGGAAGGGATGGGGTTTAAACTTTTTTGTCGTGTGGCTTGTCCTAAATTTGTTATCCCATCACGAAGAACAGTTGCACGGGATATAATAGAACTCTACATGAAAGAAAAAGTTGCCCTGAAGTCTTTGTTGAATCAACAAAAACAAAGAGTCTCTTTAACTACCGATCTATGGACTGCCAACACTACCATAGTAAGCTATATGGTTATCACTGCACATTTCATTGACTTGAATTATAGGTTGCATAGGAAAATCATAAGTTTCAAGCCAATTTGTGATCATAAAGGAGCAAGAGACAATTGCCAAACAATTGGAGAAATGTCTGTTGATTGGGGTATTGATAAGGTTTTTACTATAACAGTTGACAATGCTACTGCAAATGATAGTGCAGTTAGAATACTAAATTTGATAGCAAGAGAAGGCCTGTCAGACATAAGTGATAGTGTTGTTAGCGTACGCAATGCAGTGAAGTATGTTAGGTCTTCTCATGGCAGATTCCTAACATTTAAAAAACACTCTGGACTAGATAATGTCACTAGAGGAAGCCTGATTCTAGACAACAACACTAGGTGGAATTGCACTTATCATATGTTGACTGCGGCAATGAAGCACATGGTAGCTTTTGATAGAATGGCAGATGAAGACAAGCTATATGACAGTTACTTTCAAGAAGATGAAAAGGGCAAAAAAAGAGTTGGACCTCCGAAAGGCGAGGATTGGGAGAAAGTTCGTCGATTGGTAAGATTCTTGAAAATTTTCTACGATTCCACACTATCTTTTTCTGCATCTAAAAGTGTGACATCGAGTAGTTGTTATAATGAGATATGCTCACTTGAAATGAATTTAAACTCATTAATTAATAACAAACATGATGTTAACTTGAGTACTGCCGCGACTGTAATGAAGAAAAAGTTTGGTAAGTATTGGGAGGGAATGGAGGTCAACAAGTTACTGATTGTTGCAAGTGTGTTTGATCCACGAAGTAAAATGAGTTTTGTAACTATTTGCTTGGAGAAATTGCATGGGAAGGATAATAAGAAGTGTAGTGAAATGAAAGAAGCGATAGTTGAGGTGTTGTGTAGGCTTTATGAAGTGTATAATGCTGTGCATGTCAAGCTCACAAGTGCAATTCAATGTCCAAGTGAAAGTGGAAGTGTGAATCAGAGTTGTGTAGGTGAAAGTGGTTCGTCTGATTTTTTGAGTTTTGATGGTGATGATGGGTTTGAGAATCTGTTTTCAGAATATACTCAAATGGTTAGTGACACAGGAAGTGTGGAAGAAACTTCCAATGAATTGGATATATACTTGATGGAAAAAATAGAATTGCCATCACGTAATAGGTTAGGCATGCAGTTTGATATTACGTCATGGTGGAACTGTGGAAGGCACAAAGTTCGAAGTTTCCAATCTTGGCTGAAATGGCAAGAGATGTTCTTGCAATTCCTGTATCAATTGTTGCATCTGAGTCCGCTTTTAGCACATGAGGTCGGATTCTGGACCCGTATCGAAGTTGTTTAACTCCTCATATGCTTGAAGCATTGATTTTGACACAAGACTGGTTGCGCTCGTCTCTTGAATCGGATGGTAAAGTCACCCTTCACCAAATAATAGAGGAAACTGAGTTCATGGATTCACTTGTTCAAGGTAATTACTAATAATATATATGTTATTAATTTATTTGAGGGCAAACTGTTTAACTACTTAATACACCATATTTTTCTAACACCTGTTTTCTTAAAGATATCCATAAAGCAAGTGAGGATGCAGGCTGATATATGAGCTCACTGCTAGATGGAGAAAGGGCCAGCAGCGGACTGCTCTAACTCTCCCAGAAATGCTACTAATTATCTTTTAATGTTATTATGAACTTATTATCTTATGTAATAATGATATTGTTTATTTTGTTGAGGAGTTAAATATTTGACATTTTATTTTGTCGGGGCAACAATTGACTGCTCTACCTCTCCCAGAATGCAGTAGCTCCCCTTTGTTTTGCTTGAAATGAATGAATGATTTAATTAGTTTGTAAATATGCAGAGCCGGCTTTATGGCCATTTAGGCCAGGCATGTGCCTATGGCCTCCAAAATTTTAGGGGCCTCCATTTTTTTGTTTGCCTATTACTATTATAATTAAAAATTAATCTTTGAATAAAATAATTGAAGTTGAGCTCACGCAGAAGTGCAAACACAGTACGCAGGTTATATTCTATCGATCTTCCGTCAATTACTTGTCTAAATTAATTTGTTACAACTTTGCTCAATTGCTCTTTACCGATGTAGCTTTTATGGCATTGTAACTTTTTTACTTTTTACTCTTATACTCCATATTTAAGAAACTGGCAGGGGACTCTCAAACTAATTAAGAAGTAAATAAACTGGCAGGGGAGCGAGGGACTAAGGACGGCTAGTTTAATTGTTTAAAAGTTAATTTTTTTTTTACTATTTACTCCATATTTTAAAGTTTCCTACACTTTTCTTTTTGGGATGTATTTAAAAGTTCCATACAATTCCATTTTTGGTAAGTTTATCCTTTATAAAATATCCGTATTTTAAAATTTCCTACACTTCTCTTTTTGGGATGTACTTAAAAGTTCTCTACACTTCCATTTTTGGTAAGTTTATCCTTTATAAAATACTCATCAACTGCCCTACTTTATCTACTTTTTATCTTCTCTTTCATACTTTTACACACTCTCCTACACTTTCTATACACTATTCACTATACTTACTATTCTATCCTAAAGTTTTGTTCCAAAAGCAAATGTAGGGCGTAGGGAACATATTAATACTGAGGAAGTATGTCTTTAGACTTTCATTTTAGTCTTTTTTAAAGAGTTAAAACTGCTCGTTTGCACTAGTAAGTTATGGACTAGTGAGGACAGAGGTTTAGGATTGGTGGCACTAATAGTTTGCACTAGTAAGTTTAGGACTAGCGTTTCTCTTAACTATTAATATGTATTTTTATACTTTTATAAATATTTTAAATATGTAAGTATTGTCATTTGTCATGACGGGTAAGCAAAAATTTGATTCCGGTTCTACAAAGAGAAAGAATAAGTTGAGAAAGGATCTGGTTATTAAATCATTTGTCGGGTCTATGGATCAGTATATAAAGACAATTCCTTCTTCCTCAAACGTACACGTTCTTGAGAAAGAAACGGGTATTA